CCAAGGTTGTTTTCCAGCTTCACCTGCTGCTCCTGCCGCCACTCGCTTCACCTCCTGCTCCTGCTCCTTCTCCTCCTGCTCCTGCTCCTGCTCCTGCTCCTGCTCCTGCTCCTGCTCCTGCTCCTGCTCCTGCTCCTGCTCCTGCTCCTCCTGCTCGTCCTCCTCCTCCCCTTCATCACGGTCTTGACTTGACTGTTCTTTCCTGTCCTTTCAGTACGTCAACCACGAGCCCCTGGGTCTCAAGCATCTCTGCGACGATGAGCGAACGACTGTCAGAGGGTTGGCAGGTAAGGGGCACAAGAGGAGGAGAGGAGGAGAAGCAGGACGAGCAGGAGGGAGAGGAAAAGCAGAAGAATGAAGAGAAGGAGGAGAGATGTGGGCAAGGTTCAGGTGTGAGATACAGGGACAGTCAGTTAAGAGACGGATGTAGGAGGAGGAGGAGGAGGAGGAGGAGGAGGAGGAGGAGTGACTGTTGTGTGTGTGTGTGTGTGTGAGAGAGAGAGAGAGAGAGAAAGACAAAGACAAAGAGAAAGAGGGAAGGGAGGGGAAGGGAGAGAGGGAGGGAGGGAGGGAGGGAGGAGGGAGGAGGGAGGAAGGTTTTAGGGTTCACTCAAGGCTTCATGCAGGAGATCGCTTCGAACCAGCATTTGAATGATGAAGAACATGAACTAGCCTCGCAATACTCACAATTTAAATGAATTCTTTTAACCCCCCCCCCCTCCTGCTCCTGCTCCTGCTCCTCCTCCTGCTCCTCCTGCTCCTCCTGCTCCTGCTCCCGCGTCGTGATTCCTTGTCTCTCTCCTCCAGCACGTCACGAGCTGAAGGTCAGCACAGCCGAAGGCAGACGAGGAAGAAGTTCTTCCCACGCAGGATCCATTGAAGCTGCTTCCCCGTCCTCCTCCCCCCGCATCCCATCCAGGATCACATCCAGCGCTCCTTCCTCCTGAATTCTCCGCACGTTGTCGTCGCTCCCGCAGGCCAGCAGGGCGAGCAGCGAGCACAGGTCCTGCTGGAGTCCCTCGTTCCTCCCGTGCCGCCTCATCACGTCGATAGCGCAGGCGATCACTCCCCTCCTCCCCAGCTCCTCCCGCATGCCCTCCTCGATCGCCATCTCAGTGAGCACCCGGCAGCCCTCCACCTGAACCTCCTCATCCTCCATGTTCCCTTGCATCCCCTGCAGCACCAGCTCTACCCCCCCGGCCTGCACGAACTTGGACTTCATCCCTACCCCCTGCAGACACTCAGCTGCTGCCCGGAGCTTCTCAGCTCGCAGCGAGGAGCTGCTTCGGATCTCGTCCATGACGACCTGCAGCTTCTGCTCGGGGCTCCAAGCAAGGAAGTAGGAGGGAAGCATGAACGTCTGCGCGCTTTCCCCTGTCATAGAGGCTCTCGCTCCTCGGAGAAGGTCTGAGAAGAACGCTGCTCCCACCTGCCTCTCCTGTCAGCCTCGCTCGAGCGTCACTTCCCTCACCTCTGCCGTCTGCTGCAGCTTCTGCGCCTGCTCCGCGCTCGCGTACTTCTCAAGGATGGCCCTCGTCTTCCTCTTCAGCCCCTCCCGCACGGCCTGAGCAGTGTCCAGCCCAGGGTCTTCTTTGCGGGGGTTCAGCGAGTCAAGGAGGTGACCTGAGAACCATTCCTTCCCGAGGTCCCAGGCGTCGGGCTGGCTCGCTGCCTTGTTCTTCTGCTCTTGCAGCATCGACACCTCTTGCTTCCTCTCCTGCTTCCGTGCCTCGAAGAACTGCTTCATGAGCTCCTGCTCCTTGCTCTTGCTCAGCGACAGGTCGCCGATCTGCTGGGGAGGGATCTTGATGAAGCCGATCTTCATCCCCGGCGGGATCCACTTGAGCCCCAGAGGAGCGAACACCATGCTCACCATCGCGTCGTTGACCAGCAGGCTGCTCCCCCGCGGCTTGTTCGGCGTGTTGACCGTCGCGCACACAGGAATCACGATCTTGACCGCCGGCTCGTCGTGAACTCGCGCGATCAACGGCTCCGTCGTGATCTCGGGGTCCACCAGCACGACCCCAGCAGCTCCAGCCTGCTGGGCATGGAGGACCTTGATGTTGTAAGGTACGGCCCTTGCTGGAGGTTTGGGGCCTCGCAGGACGGCGACGATCTTGCCGCGAACCTCCGCGGCGTTCCAGAGAGGAACGTCAGCGTAGCTTGGACGAGCCCAGACCACCCGAGCTGAGACGTCGCGCATGTGCCTGTAATGGTGGGGGGTGAGCTGAGGAGGAGGAGGGAGCTGTTCCTGGGCATGCGAAAGGAGGATGCTGGCGCAGGTGTCGAGCCGAAACTCCGGGAGGACGCGAGCAGGCAGCTCATCGCGCTGCACAGGCGTCGGCTCCTCCCAGATCGGCTGGGCCCCATCGAACGTCAGACCCAGCAGAGCTCCAGCTTCATCCCTCATCCTGCCTGACACTGGGTTGCCTCCCTCGAACTTCCCTCGGAACTGCCTCCTGTCCTGGAAGACGTAGAGGCCTTCCCCGTGCATCCTCCCTCCCTTCATCTCCCCGTGGTACTCGGAGCCGTCAGGCCAGAGGATGGAGCCGAACCCGTTGGGTATGCCGT